GTACAAACTGTGAAGTTCCACTGAGACACAATGTGATATTTGTGATAATATAGGGCGAATAATATAAATACACATTGATTGAATAAGAATTGAATTGATTGATTAGATGTGATTGACTTGAACCTAAGACGTACCCTTACTAAAGATTCATAAGGGTATATTAATTAGGTGTTATTAAGGTGTGTAACACCTTTATTAACATTAAGAACCATTATATAAACCAGTTCAAAAATACGCTCTTTCAATAACATCAAGCGAGCAGGCATTCCTATGTTGGCATAGATGACTAAAGCCCACATTGGACTACTAGCGGAGAATCAACTCAGAACGCACAGATACCAAGGATTGCTGCGCTGACTGAAGAAGACGAAGTTAATCTAGGTAGGTCCGAATACGTTGTGAAGGCCTTACAGTACAGATACATGTGGCTTCACTATTCTGGCAAGCGACCGGTCACAGCTTGCCCTCGTTTATCTCAGTCTTATAAAACGTGACTATTCCATGATTTATAAAGTGTTAACAACCAAATTAATAAATGAATTACAAACTATTCGTAAACCCTTTATCAGGGTAGTCTTATTGTAAAGTGGTACAGAAAAAGCAATACATAAATGCAAATCATTTATACAATCCCTAACATATACTGTACTGTCTTTGTCTCAATTTACAACAATATCGAACATTACTACTATTGATATTTACTGCTGTCTAAACTGAATACTGCCGTGATGAAACGCCATATCATGGATTATCAAGGATTATCTCTGAAACAGTATGGAGCTCAAAGGCTTTCTCTCTTGCCGGTTATACCACAAGGTGAATTCCTTTTTATTTCCTGCTTCTTCACACACATGCTCTCCAGTACAGGTTAGCTCTGAGTGTTAGCGATGCTAATGTAAACACAGACCATATTATGTCCAAAACAGTCGGGCATTGTTTCTGATAGCAACGTTTCTGATAGGGCCGTGGGTCCACATTTCAGATATTACGTCATATCGGACGCAAATCTGGATCAGCTCCGTTGTAGCCCCGTTTTTAGAGATTTGGGTACGGAGGAAAAGAGAGAGGGTTTTATTTTCTGACGCTGCGTGAGTTCCCCGACACACCGGGGACACATAGTTATGTATAAAAGACATCAATTTTGCATGATAGGTCCCCTTTAAGTTCAAATGTAAAATCGGTTTCTTTGACCCAAATGCCACACAATTGTTAATTCCGGTGACCCTCCAAAATAACATGTGAAAGCCATGCAGGCAGCAGGTAGTGTAAGCTTTTAAAGACCGTGATAGATCCATCTCAGAGTGGAGGATGAAACAGAAGGAGGGGCACTTTCTAAATCATCTCATTGGCTAATGTAAAAGGCGGAGGGGGAGAGGGGGGAGAGCATGCCTCCTTGGTTTACTGTATAAAACCTGCTGAGTCACTTTGCTGCATTGGAGCTCCGACCACAGCCAATCAGATTCATCCTCGGAGGTCAAAGACAGACTCTGCAGAGGGTCTAAGAGATTCTAGTTTTCCCTTTCCCCATCTGTTATCAGGATGTCCAAGAAAGAGTCCAAGATCAAGTTTGTATTTTCATAACATCTGCAATGACCCAATACATCTTGAAATGTGTGTTTTCTGCTCCATGTGAGGCGTTTTGTTATTGAAAGACTTCTGTGGAAGAGATATGTGGAGGAAGGGTTTGACAGAGTGGAATAGAAAGCAATGATGGTATTTTACATCAAAATATAGAAAAACATAAAGCTCCACCAGACATTTCAATAGTGTACCGTCTTCGGTTAATCTGGTGATATTCTAAAATGTTCTTACTCTCAACAAATTCCCTAAACAAATTAACCAACAGCAGATCGATGCAACTTACAAAGTATTATCTGTAGCTAACACAGAGGCAAATTGCACATTTAGTCCAGCTTTACTTAAAGGACCCATGTCATGCTTTTCTGGTTATTACCCGTCCCCTTGTGTGTTATGAAGGTTTTTCTGCATGTAAACGGTCTGCAGAGTCACAAACCCTCAAAGTAAGCCTACACCCTGTAGCGAGTAAAACTCTAACACAGAAAAGACCTGTCTATGCTGTTCCTAGCCTCCCTCTCTCTCTCTCAGCCCCCTC